AAAATCTGCAGGAAGGTAGCTCTCCAGGAACAGGGCTGGTGACCCCTGGTTTGGACTGTGGGGGAAACTGGAGCACCCGGCGGAAACCCACGCCAACGAACCAGCGACCTTGCTGTGAGGCGACAGTACTTACCACTGCGCCTCCCCCATCTAGTCACATTAATCCAACTTAATTTAATTACCGTAATTTTGAAAAACTACATTTCCCATGATGCCATACAAACAAATTCCACCAATCAAAGAGTTGCAGCGAACAAAGTGCATTAAAAGATGTGATTTAGCTCCGCCCACTATAATAAATAATCTCTAATTATGTAACAGCGCCTCCCCAGACTCTTAAAATACGGAAATATTTGTATATATGAAGAGTTTAGATGCAAAAGCCACAAAACACTACCGCAAAAAAATAAGATAATGACATTGAGTGAATGTTTAGGCATGTACTACGCCATCAACAAATAAATTTGCTTCAAATCATTTAAATCCCAGCGTCAATTCAGAAATAATGCCGCTAAACATCACTGCCTTTGACAGAAAAAGCCACCATATCCTGAGAACCAATCAGAAAACCCGAATCAAATCATATGTTTTCCATGTGGCAGAGAGCTGGTACGCCGGCTTTATGAGATATTTATAAGAGTTTTAATCCACTTCTGATTTAGATTTTAAAAGATGGAGTTTGATGAACTGGATGAGGCTGTCCGACTGTCAGTGAATGGCAGATGAAAACATCCTTTACCTCAAACTCTGCGCATCATAAGAAAAAGAAAACACACTGTACAGTCGGAAGGTTAGCATGCATTCATAACGTTTTTTTTGCACAGTGATAGTACTTTTGAATGAGATTTACTATACATTAAACAGCAACTGCGTTTCACGAAAGACAGAGTTAAGATTCTTTGATCCCACATGGATGCTATGAGGATAAACAAGAGACCAAGACCTTAATGGTGAGAATGAAGGAACGACAGCTTCTAAAATTGTCTAAGAGGCATCCCCTTTTTGCCCAGTAGGCCTACCTTGTGTTTTATTTTCTATTTTAAGCTATTTTTAGATAAATACATTTTATAAAACTTAGGGCTGTGCAATTAATCGAAAATCCGATTTCGATTATGGCTTTTAACGATTATGAAAAACCATTAATCGAGATAAACGATTATTCCATTATTTACCGCCCCCTGTCCAGTTGTCCTCACTTGTTGCTCTTAAGGCTGATTTATACTTCTGCGTCAAACGCCAGCGTATGCTACGGTGCTGACGCATAGCCCTTCGCCGTGGCCATCGCCGTCACTGACGTGCACCTCTCAAAAAATGTAACTACACGTCGCAACGACGCGTAGCGTAAGCTCTGTGATTGGTCGGCTTGGTAGCGCTGACGCGTCTGGGCAGGACCGAGAGCCGCGTGAATGGCGCGACGCCGCGCGAGCGATTGTTTACAAGTGTGGAGTCCCGTGAAGGAGCTCCGGATGGAAAGTTTTGTATTGTGTGTACCTCATAGTTAAAGTTGTTGCACGTCCGCCGGTTCCTGCCTCAAAATGAGCGAGTTTGAGCCACTTGTACATCCCAGAAGTGTTCAGGAAATGCAAAAAAGTAGCGAAGAAACTCGACACAGAGGAACATTTACACCTCACTGCCAACTAGCGTTTCGGAAGTGTTAATGCAGACCGACAGAGACAGCGCGCAGAAGTATAAATGCACAGCCACGCGCGTTGCCTGCACCGTGGGTTACGCCGGTCACCTGACGCAGAAGTATAAATCAGGCAGCGCGAAAGACCGCATGCTTATGTGTGTGCGGCGCGCAGACAGCCAGAAGCATGCGGTCTGCACTTGGTCTCATTCGCACATTGTGACGAGCAGAGAGCACACACATCTAAAGTCTTTAACGTGAGCGCTTTAATGTTCAAATAGGTGTCAAAACGCGGTGTTTAGTGATTATTCATATTAACCCTCATTTTGTAATAAACAAACGAGTTGAGGATCAAAAGACACGTGAAAGTGAAACCATTAAAGTGACAGAGCACAATAGCTGCCGCCTGTTTTATCATGATTAATAAAACAACGAGAAAATCCCTCTCTGCTCTTGACTGAAGACTTTTGTAGCTAAAGTGTTTTTCTTACGGTGAAGAAGCTAAAAGCACGGTTTGTTTCATATTTTTATTCTATTGTATTTATTTCTCTTTCCTTTGCAGGGAGGAAAATACTATATGCAGTTGAAGTTAGAATTATTAGCCCTCTTGAATTTTAGCAACCTTTTACCCCCAAAATCTGTTTAATGGAAAGAAGATTTCTGAACATAATAGTTTCAATCATTCATTTCTAATAACCGATTCATTTTATCTTTGCTATGATGACAGCTCATAATATTTTAGTAGATATTTTTTTTAAATACAAACATTCAAATTCAAAGTGTGATTCAAAAGCTTAATTAGGGAAATTAGGCAAGTCATTATATAACAGTAGTTTCTTCTGCAAACAATCAAAAATATATATTGCCTATCGGGGGCTAATAATATTGGTCTTAAAAGAGGTTTCAAAATATTTAAATTTGCTTTTATTCTAGCCAAAACAAAACAAATAAGCCTTTCTCCAGAAGAAAAATATCAGAGAAAATACTGTTAAAATTCCTTGCTCTGTTAAACTTCATTTGGGAAATATTTATTTTTTAAAAATTCTCAGGAGTGCTAATAATTTTGACTTCAACTAATAATCGTTTGGAATAATCGTGATTACAATTATGACCAAAATAATCGTGATTATGATTTTTCCCAAAATCGAGCAGCCCCAATAAAACTATACATTATTTATATTACTTCATAATACATCTGATAAGCTTTTTATATTAATAGACAATGCACAGGTATTGATGTTTCTACATTATTTGAATCTAACAAGCTTAGTTTACAATGTTTAAACTGCTGTACTCACATTAAATCTAAATCACAAATATGAGAAATGACAACAGATTGTTAAGATTTAGTTAATGTCAGTTTTAATGTTATTGATTCATGGTTTCCGCTACATTCATTCTTCCATGGCAGGGTGCCACGCCAAAATTGATCCCGCCACGGCTACATTACAGCTTCTCATTCAAAACATTCAGTCCTGATTTTTTTTAAATAGCGGGTGATAATCGCACCAAAACATATTAAAAGGTAAGTGAATTATAACAGCGCGAGCTTTACTGTAACCTTAGTACTGCTGTGCGTTATTTGTTTAACCCTTTAAGGTTACGTGCTGACTGACTGTCTGACTGACTGATGATGCGTGAGGCCAGCAAACACGATGTATAACTGTTTCACTTTACTTCAGGACGCATTGAAGTCACTCTGAAGGTCTATTGGAGACATTCATAAATATTCCTAGCAAATCTAATAAATGCTGGAGACATACTCGTTACATAAACGCACTAAATCATACTTCAGCAGTGTTTATTTGAGAGCGCACAAGAAGATCTGTGCTTAAGCAGTGGATATTTACGGGAGAGCAAGAAGATTTGTGCGAGAGCAGAGGAAATCGCGCACAAGCAAAGAGATTCGCATGCTGTAGGCTATTACATAAATGTGACCTCGACTTGTAATACTGCGCTCACGACATTTGTCATTGTAATAACGCCACAGCTAGTTGATAGATCAGTGTAATAAAGGCCTGCCGCCACATCTGAAAAAATTTTTTAGAGGAAACACTGATTAATGCATTAATTTATTTTCCTTCTACTTTTTCCCTGGTTTATCGCAGCGGAATGAACCGCCACTTACTTGACAGATTTATATATTTTAGGTGGTGTGTGTAATGTGTTTTACGTTTGGTAAAATATTCTCTAATTGCATCTTTAGTGATTTTCAGCTAATAGCACTGTCTTGTCCCAGTAGGTGCATTTAGAGGTTTTTGCAATAAAAGCAGATGTGGGTTTAGCTGGTTTTGATGCAAAAGAAAATATTCCTTGTTAAAAACCAAAGAAATGTCTACAGTGACATTATTGAAAAAAAAGTTATTTTATTTACCAGCTAATGACCTTATTATTACATATAAATTGAAACTTCTGAACCTAATCAGAGGAGCCTGATACAAAATGCTCATTTACTAGAAAAGAGGTTTGATGAATTTACAGGGTTTTGCATCTGAACTCTTCATATGTTGTACATAATGGTACATGCTACAAAGTGTTAAAACAAGTTAAACAGTATGCCATTAAAACCATTATATATTTTTACAAGACACAAATGCAATGCAGTGTGAGCAGTGTGGGATTTGAAAAAGCATAGTTGCGTCAAAAATCACATATGGTGCTGCCTTAAATAGTGCAATATTTCAGATTCTAGGGACCGGATACAGCTATACTTTAAAATGATGTACTATAATCCGTGTAAAACTGGCTTATATTGGATGTTGTTGGTTGTGTTATTCGTGTTGTCATTAGTCCTCACCCTGGTGTACTGATACTTGTAAACTGCAAAATAATTCAGATCTGTGTTTATTGTTATACACTTACTTTTAATGACAAAGAAATAATACATCCATGATTTTAATCTCTTCTCATGCACTCTAAATGATCCCTAATGAACTAATTTTTCTTTTGTTTTGTTTTTTCTCTTCAAGGGAGTGTGACGCACCTGACACATCGTAAAACATACACATTTGTTGCTGGTCTTGCTTTTAACCTTCAGTGCAATAGAGACAGTCAGAATGTGACGGTGAGCTGGACTCGTGTTCCTAGTCGCAGCTTGGAAAGTATCACTGGAATGAATATCAAAGACAACACACTGTGGTTTCTGCCTGCTGACCTCACTCATCAAGGGTCCTACTCCTGTTTCAGCAGGTAACAAGGCAATGCATGGTTTCTTTTGATTTAGTTTTGGGTAACACTTTACAATAAGGTTTATTAGTTAATGCATTTACTAACATGAACTAATCATGATCAACCCTTGTACAGCATTTATTAACTAGCCAGGCTGGAACCCCAGCCAAAACCAGCTATATCCAGCTTAAACCAGGCTGATCAAGCTGGTTTTAGCTGGATTTAGCTGGTCATTTTCCAGCCTGACCAGCTAAGACCAGGCTGGAAATGGCTGGAAACCAGCCTGGAAATGGCCAAAACCCCTCTAAAACCAGGCTGGTCAACTAAAACCAGCCAACATGCCTAGGCTGGTTTAAGCTGGATTTTTCATCAGGGTCATTCATTTGATTACTCGTTACTGAAAAAAGTATCGCCGTTAGTAACGCTGTTTATTTATGGCACCGTTATATTGCATCGCTGATCTCGACAAACAAGCCGTTTCAGCTTTCTTCAGTGCATTTGATAAGTTCAGGAAATTGTGATGCATATATTGTGATACAGTATATCAAGTTTTTATTTTCATGTGTATTTTATATTTCAGAAAAGGCAATGATACCTGGGAAACAATATTTGAGGTCTCAGTTAGCAATGAAACATGTCCCCACTGGAACAGAAAAGATGAATTAACCAGCACAGCAAAACTTGAGTGTTTTCTTCCTCATATCTTTAAGATAGACCCTCAAGCACAAGTGACCTGGCGAAAGGTAAACCCTGATGCACATATTACCAGCAAATCATAGGTCACATTCACAAACTAGTTAAATACTGTTGTAAATGTGTGGTGAGTTGACAACTGTGTTTTATCAAAGGGCTTCTCAATGTTTATTCATATATTTTTTCATGACTTGTGTAATGGAGATGTTGGTTAGCCATCTGACCAATCAGAGCAAAGTAGAGCCATTGGACCAATCAGAGTATAGTCATCTGACCAACCTGAGCAGAGTAAAGCCATCTGGACAATCAGAACAGAGGAGGGCCATCTGTCAGTTCAGAGCAGAGTATAGTTATCTGGCCAATTAAAGCAGAGTATAGTTATCCGACCAATCAGAGCAGAGTAGAGCCATCTGACCAATCAGAGCAGAGAAAAAAACATCTGGCCAATCTTGGCATACAAAGCATCAAACTGATAAGGGTAGAGGAAGACTATCTGACCCGAGTAAATCCTTCTGTCTAATCAGAGCAGAGTAAAGCCTTCTGGCTAATCATAACAGAGAAGTCCATCTGGCCAATCACAGAAGAAAAGAACCTTTTGGCCAATCATAACAGAGGAGTCCATCTGGCCAGTCAGAGCAGAGAAGAAACTTCTGGCCAATCATAACAGAGGAGTCCATCTGGCCAATCAGAGCAGAGAAGAATCTTCCAGCCAATCATAACAGAGGAGTCAATCTGGCCAATCAAAGCAGAGTTAAGCCATCTGGCGAATCATAACAGAGGAGTCCATTTGGCCAATCAGAGAAGAGAAGAACCTTCTGGCCAATCATAACAGAGGAGTCCATCTAGCCAGTCAGAACAGAGAAGAAACTTCTGGCCAATCATAACAGAGGAGTCCATCTGGCCACTCAGAGCAGAGTTAAGCCATCTGGCCAATCAAAACAGAGGAGTCCATCTGGCCAATCAGAGCAGAGAAGAACCTTCTGGCCAATCATAACACAGGAGTCCATCTGGCCAATCAAAGCAGAGTAGAATCTTCTGGCCAATTATAACAAGGAGGCAATCTTAGCAGAGTAAAGCTATCTTGCCAATCATAACAGAGGAGTCCATCTGACCAATCAGAGCGGAGAAGAACCTTTTGGCCAATTATAACAGAGGAGTCCATCTGGCCAATCACAGCAGGAAAGAACCTTCTGGCCAATCATAACAGAGGAGTCCATCTGGCCAATCAGAGCAGAGAAGAATCTTCCAGCCAATCATAACAGAGGAGTCCATCTGGCCAATCAAAGCAGAGTTAAGCCATCTGGCGAATCATAACAGAGGAGTCCATTTGGCCAATCAGAGAAGAGAAGAACCTTCTGGCCAATCATAACAGAGGAGTCCATCTGGCCACTCAGAGCAGAGTTAAGCCATCTGGCCAATCAAAACAGAGGAGTCCATCTGGCCAATCAGAGCAGAGAAGAACCTTCTGGCCAATCATAACAGAGGAGTCCATCTGGCCAATCAGAGCAGGGAAGAACCTTCTGGCCTATCATAACAGAGGAGTCCATCTGGCCAATCAGAGCAGAGTAGAATATTCTGGCCAATCATAACAGAGGAGTCCATCTGGCCAATCAGAGCAGGAAAGAACCTTCTGGCCTATCATAACAGCGGAGTCCATCTGGCCAATCAGAGCAGAGAAGAACCTTCTGGCCAATCATAACAGAGGAGTCCATCTGGCCAATCAGAGCAGGGAAGAACCTTCTGGCCTATCATAACAGAGGAGTCCATCTGGCCAATCAGAGCAGAGTAGAATATTCTGGCCAATCATAACAGAGGAGTCCATCTGGCCAATCAGAGCAGGAAAGAACCTTCTGGCCTATCATAACAGAGGAGTCCATCTGGCCAATCAGAGCAGAGAAGAATCTTCCAGCCAATCATAACAGAGGAGTCAATCTGGCCAATCAAAGCAGAGTTAAGCCATCTGGCGAATCATAACAGAGGAGTCCATTTGGCCAATCAGAGAAGAGAAGAACCTTCTGGCCAATCATAACAGAGGAGTCCATCTAGCCAGTCAGAACAGAGAAGAAACTTCTGGCCAATCATAACAGAGGAGTCCATCTGGCCACTCAGAGCAGAGTTAAGCCATCTGGCCAATCAAAACAGAGGAGTCCATCTGGCCAATCAGAGCAGAGAAGAACCTTCTGGCCAATCATAACAGAGGAGTCCATCTGGCCAATCAGAGCAGGGAAGAACCTTCTGGCCTATCATAACAGAGGAGTCCATCTGGCCAATCAGAGCAGAGTAGAATATTCTGGCCAATCATAACAGAGGAGTCCATCTGGCCAATCAGAGCAGGAAAGAACCTTCTGGCCTATCATAACAGCGGAGTCCATCTGGCCAATCAGAGCAGAGAAAAACCTTCTGGCCAATCATAACAGAGGAGTCCACCTGGCCAGTCAGAGCAGAGTAGAATCTTCTGGAAAATCATAACAGAGGAGTCCATCTGGCCAATCAGAGCAGAGAAGAACCTTCTGGCCTATCATAACAGAGGAGTCCATCTGGCCAATCAGAGCAGAGTAGAATATTCTGGCCAATCATAACAGAGGAGTCCATCTGGCCAATCAGAGCAGGAAAGAATCTTCTGGCCAATCATAACAAGGAGGCAATCTTAGCAGAGTAAAGCTATCTGGCCAATCATAACAGAGGAGTCCATCTGGCCAATCATAACAGAGGAGTCCATCTGGCCAATCAGAGCACAGTAAAGCCATCTGGCCAATCATAACCGAGGAGGCAATCTGAGCAGAGTAAAGCTATCTGGCCAATCTGAGCAGAGTAAATCCATCTGGCCAATCAGAGCAGAGGAGAGGTATTTGAATATAACTTTAAGCTGAATACTAGTGTCTTGTAAAATATCTAGGAGAATATTGTGTGCTGTCATCATGAAAAAGACAAAATAAATCAGTGATTATTGGAAATTAGTAATTAGTTATTGAAATAAAAATCTCTCTGTTCAACAGAACTTGGAATTATCTATAAAAGAATGAATATTTAACAGGAGGGCTAATAATTCTTACTTCAACTGTAGTTTACGCTGCTTTAACACAGTCCACATTGTATAGATCTACACTATAGACATAAAGATGGATTAAACTGAGCTAAATAACCTTGGTTCACGTGTCAGTGTTGTTTGCTCTGCTCTGTCTGTACATGCTCTTTGTAATATCTTGTTATGTTGATCTGATCTCTCTTTATCCTCTCTCTATAGAACTGTCAGCCGTTAAACATGTCTAACAGTAAGGTTCTGCTGGTGGACAGATCTACAGAGATGATTGGACTGCTCACCTGCTTCGTCAACTTTACATTTGAAGGGCAAAACTATCTCTCTGCCCAGACTACAGAGGTCTACATGGGGTCTACAGTTGACGGTAAAGTATGAATCAAAACTCAAGCTGCTGTCTCTCAATTGTTACACACTCAGACATAAAGGCACAACTGATCCAGCACATGTTTTACGCAGCGGATGCCTTTCCAGCTGCAACCCATCTCTGGGAAACATCCATACACACTTATTCACACTCATACACTATGGACAATTTAGCCTACCCAAGTTTTAGCTGGCAGTTCATTCTGCTGTGGCAACCCCTGATAAACAAGGGACTAAGCCAAAAGAAAATGAATGAAGTTATGACCCATAATGTAATCATCATGTTGGACCAGTGGGTGGCGGTACAGAGCTGAAATGACAGTGTTGAGCTGAAATAATCAAGTGTGTTTCTGTGGTCTGATGGATGATGTAATAAATGTGTGTTATGTTAACAGTGGTGACGCCACCAAAATTGATCTACCCGAAGCCAAGTCAAACACACAGAGTAACACTTGGTGAGTGAAGACGATACTGGTTTTAACACCCACTGTGTCATTTAACCCCTGTGTTGCAGTCTGTGGGAATTAGTGTTAGTTCCTGTTCATTAAAACAAGTGATATTTATTCTCCTGTGAAATTTGTATTATTTTTCACAGTATTTTCTTGTTATTTCATGTCACCACAGGTCAAAGTTACAAGATAAACTGCAAAGCTCTAGTTGGGATGAACGATGATGACGACACTGATTTATACTGGTATACTGACTCCGATTCTCTGCGTCTGGACTTCGACTTGTCAAGGTACATTTATCTTTATATGTGGATGTTAGAAGTAGGTTTTATTATTGAATATATTACTTTTTTAATTATTTGCCCTATTTTTTCATTAATTCAATCATTTTCTTGTCGGCTTAGTCCCTTTAATAATCCGGGGTCGCCACAGCGGAATGAACCGCCAACTTATCCAGCGTGTTTTTACGCAGCGGATGCCCTTACAGCCGCAACCCATCTCTGGGTACCATACACACATCCACACACACACTCATACACTACGGACAATTTAGCCTACCCAATTCACCTGTACCGCATGTCTTTGGACTGTGGGGGAAACCGGAGCACCCGGAGGAAACCCACGCGAATGCAGGGAGAACATGCAAACTCCACACAGAAACGCCAACTGAGCAGAGACTCGAACCAGCGACCCAGCGACCTTCTTGCTGTGAGGCGACAGCCCTACCTACTGCGCCACTGCTTCGCCGGCTCTATTTTTTATGGTTTACTATTATTTAAATATTGCATATACAAGGGATGTTTAACACGAGCAAGGCAAGGCAAGTTTATTTATATAGCACATTTTAAACACAGTGGCAATTCAAAGTGCCTTAAATAAACAAGAATAAAAGAGACAAGTCTAAGAAAAATAAATATAAAATAAATAAACATTATTTTAAAAATTAGATAAAAACATATAAAATGTGTTAAAACAGGTTATAAACGAATGAAAATGAAGACAGAGCAGCAAAGACATTTCTTCATGGTATTTTCAATAATATTTTCTACATATTTCTTTCAGTGTGGCTGGAGTAAAAGCAGTTTTTAAATAAATAAATAAAAAATTAAGGTAGATTTCAGCTTTATCCTTTAAGGGTATCATTATTTTTTTCAACAAACCACTGTTGTCCAATGCCTTGCCTAATTAAAGGTGATGGATGTTGGAAGTTTTTGACTCTTCTAAAGCATATGCATCAATGCTGAAGTCAGATATTCTGCTTTGAAAATGTGCATTACATGCCTTAACGGCTGTCTTTTTTTATTCTTTTAACCCGCCCAATGCCACTTTAGCAAATTATAGTTCAGCACCCCAGGTTGCCTTGATGGAAAACACCATATCTGATTCATTCATTTAGGAATGCTCTCAAAGCATGCGTCTGTGACTGAAAGCGACCTCCGGTAGACAGTGGCAGACTCCGAAATGAGTCGCAGATTCAGAGTTCCACATGAGGTTATTAATTAGCAAATAATATAAATATTATGAATGTAAACGTTAGAAATTAGAAATTATTTCAACACATATCATGTGCTATAGGTGACTTGGGTAAGCTAAATTGGCTGTAGTGTATAAGTGTGCATGTGAGAGTGCATGGGTGTTTCCCTGTAATGGGTTGCCGCTGGAAGGACATCTGCTGCGTAAAACATATGCTGGATAAGTTGGCCCCTGATGAATAAAGGGACTAAGCTGAAGGAAAATTAATGAATGAAATGTTATCTTAATGTTTGTAGTCAGTTTGAGTGGTGTAAGTTGAGATGACTGGAAAAATGGGTCACACATTACAACACGGTTCATTAGTTAATGTTAATTAACAAACAATGAACAATACATTTACTACTGTATTCACGTTAGTTAATGAAAATACAGTTGTTCGTTGTTAGTTCATGTTAACTCATGGTGCATTAACTAATGTTAAAAAGCATGGACTTGGATGTTAAAGAGCCCATATTATACATGAAATAGGGTCATATCTTGGTTGTAAGGTTCTCCAACAACAGTCTAATATGCATCCAAGGTCAAAAAACACTTTCATGGTCTTAAAATCTGCATTTATTTTTACCTAATTTTCCCAGTGACTCCCGTATGAATCGTCCAGTGATTCATTTGTTCCCAAACCCCTCCTTAGCGCGAAGCTAATCTGCGCTGATTGGACCGATGACAGTCTGTCGCGATTGGTCGACTGCCTTCAGTCAGAGTGAAATGCCAAACAGCTAATCAGCAATATAAAAGTAATCACAGTTCATACACGCTCGATAGTGTAGGCGTGGAGTTTAGCTGCCAGTGGGTCAATGTAAATACAGACGATGGACTTGAAAATTCAGACGACTAACTATTTTATTGAGCAAAAACTCCAAAAACTGTCGAGGAGATCTCCTAGCTTGTCTCACTCTGCTCTTTTCACAGACACAAACTGTCGAGGAGATCTCCTAGCTTGTCTCACTCTGCTCTTTTTCGCGAACACACACACAAACACACACACATACCTCCGGACGACACACACAGTACCCTCGTCCACGGAGCTCCGTAAACAAAGCAGCACGCGTCGCGTTTTTAACGTGACTTTGCACGCGATAAGAGAATAGCCAGTTAACCGGATACAGTACACGCGGTTACAAGTAACAAATCACAACTAAATACATTTGCAAGCTCGAGTAAACAAGGCAACTTTAATCGCACGTACTTACACTTGAGAAATGGAGGAAGAAACCCATCCTGACGTCCATCAGTAAGTTACTCTTTACTGATCCTTCCTTTAACAAACGCAGATGAAGTATTCTTTGTAGCATGTAGCTTCCAGAAGTTTCCAGTAGTTTCCAACTGCTTGGCTATAATGCTGATGTTTCGTCTTTGGGTAGAGACTCGATATAATATCCATCTGCAGTGTGACTTCAGTTAACTGGCATGTTTGTGTGCGTGTGTTTGTGGGTGTGTGTCTGTGTCTGGGTTTCTGCGTCAGAGGGCGGGGCCTCAGGTTTGAAATCTCCCGGGTTTGCGCGTGCACGTAATAACTTGGTTTCGTTCGTACGTCATGGCGAAACACCTAATGACTCGTTATCAAGACGACTCGTTTGAAGCACTATGAGTCGACTCTTTTATAGATGAATCAACCGTTTTAAACACTGTACACTTACAGATTTAAGCCTTAGCTGGATACTTCACTTCTCTTAGAGCTGTGTTACACACTACATGGAGGGGAATTTTCAAAAACCCATAATATGGGCTCTTTAATAATGCATTAGTAAATGTTCAATTATGGTTAATAAATGCTGTACATGTGTTGTTCATGATTAGTTCATGTTAGTAAATGCAATAACTAATGAACCTTATTGTTAAGCGTTACCGAAAAAATATATTTAATTCAACTAAAACATTTAAGGCAGCAAGATTTTTTTTTACAGTGCATAGAGTCTAAATGTCAATACTTTAGCTTCTCCATGTGTTTGTTTGTTTTCAGATTCAAGGAAGGTGATCAGGAATACCTGCTGTCTGTTTTATCCATCTCAGAAGTCACAGCTGAGCATTTAAACATCAACTTCACCTGTAAGGTTGATCACCCGGCGGGATCAGATTCAGGAAGAGTTGTGCTGATTCTAGGTCAGTTCTGGTTGATCTCCAGCATTATCTCTGATACTGTGCTGTTTTATCAACAAATTTCAGAAGGAGCATGCACAGATAATTTGACAGGGCTAAAGGTGTACTCACTCTAGACACGATTGTCTTGAACCGTGCCCAGACATGATTACCCCCCCTCTCCTCTACCCCGATGGGCCGCACTCACATAGCATTTTTCCCCATCCGAGCCTGAGCATGCTTACGTCATCGATGATGCGACTGTTCTGTTTAACAGGAAGAGAAGTGCTCTCGCTCAGCACAGTGGACATGCTTTAGTCATATTGTTTCTATTATTTTAAGTCGTTTGGGATGCAGTGACATGCAGTCAAATCATTTGCTGAACAGATCCACCAGTTTTGACGCAATAAATGTTCATGAAAGTCATCATGCTGCAGGTATTAGAAGGTTTGCTGGCAGCTGACGTGCTGCGAGGGGTTTGTGTCTTTAATAAACTATGGCAGTTTGCGTTCATTGAAAAGTGGGTCTTTAGTTTTGGGCTCAAGCGCACTTTGCACTCACACTTGTGAATGCGCTTTAGTTTGAAAACGCATAAGTTTTGCTATGGTTACGCCATCCGTCCACACAACGCCGGAGTTTTCGAGCGCCGAAAATAGAGTGTTTTGAAAACGCTGAAGAGGCCGTTTTCATTCTAAAACGCTGCTGCTCCGTCTCAGTGTGGATGAGGGAAAACGGAGACATCTGAAAACGGAGGCGGGGCTGCTGAGATTCGCTACCTGATTGGGGCTTTTGTGTCATTGCGTATCCTTCCCCTATTCGTCAAGCCCCTATCACATGACTATATCACATGGCTTTAACGCTGCCAGAAGACAGCAGACCAGCCTTCATTGTAAACAACAACATGGACACAGAAATGGGAGCGTTGTTTGCACTATTGTCTGTTTTAAGCGCCATTGTGCAGTTATTCATTTGTTCGGTTTAGCAACTACTCGACCTCGTCGTCTGTCCACAAAAATACCTCTCTTGCTTTCTTTGCCATCGCGTTCATTGTTCAACCAGCGTTTGTTGACTAACAATAACCAAATGCTGAGCGTGACACATGCTTCCTGTTTATACTAGAACGCGCATGCCCAGAGAGCGCGAATGGTCATGTGATATACGCTTTTGGTGGCGTAGTGTGGACGGAGATATGTTCAGAAAGGCTGGTGTGGACGCGGATCGTTTTTGATCTAAAACGCTGTTTTAAAACTAAAACGCATTAGTGTAAACGGGGTCTTTTTGTCTATACTGACATTATGTTCAGCAGCTCAAAACTGGCTAATGGACAGACGGCTGCTTCTCGCTCAGGGCTGTTTATGCTAATGAGGGAGAGATGGCCACTAGTGGGCGGGGCTTCCCCCTCTGATGACACAGGGAGAGTGTCAATCAAAGTGTTTCTGCAGACTGTTTTGATCAAGTCTGATTATAAAAAATAGACTTGAACTATCTTTACCATTAAAGGCTGGATATATTCACACACTGCTGACACACAACTGTGTTAAAACCCCTTATAAAAGTGATTTTTTGCATAATAGGTCCCCTTTAATCCTACTTTTTCTAACCCCTCTTCCCAGACAGCACACCAAATACACATATTCTTGATTTAGTGAAATATCTGTGTGAAGTGAGTGCTGGTGTTGTCTGATCTGCTGTGTTTGTTTGATTTGTCCTCAGCCAGTCAGAATGAGCGTTATTATTGGGTCGGTGTGGGTCTGGTGGCTCTGCTCATCCTGCTGCTCGCTCTGCTGTTTCTCTGCAGGGTTGATCTGGTTCTGGCCTACAGGAGTGTTTGCTCACGTTCTGTCGCATGCAGCGGTACGTCAGATTATTGTTTTCGGTAGATAGGCTCTGGAGTAGCCTGAGCTTAATGAATGCACAGCAAAAAACTTCACTCAGAAAATTTTGTCTCGTTTTTCACACTAACAGAATTAATTCTTTATGTTTTATACATACAGTTTGAACATACATTTTTTACATACAGTTTGAGAATACTTTAGGTCTTATGTCATTTTTTATCTCAAGTAAAAAAAAAAAAAAAAAAAAAATATATATATATATATATATATATATATATATATATATATATACATACATACATATATACATACATATATATATATATATATATGTGTGTGTATGTATATATATATATATATATATATATATATATATATATATATATATATATATATATATATATATATATATATATATATATATATATATATATATATATATATATATATATATATATATATATATATATATATATATATATATATATATATATATATATATATATATATATATATATATATATATATATATATATATATATATATATATATATATATATATATATATATATATATATATATATATATATATATATATATATATATATATATATATATATATATATATATATATATATATATATATATATATATATATATATATATATATATAAATGTATATGTATATACAGTTAAAATCAGTTATTAGCTCTCTTGTGATTTTTTTTTCTTTTTCAAATATTTCACAAATGATGTTTAACACATTTAGGGAATTTTCACAGTATTTTCTATAAGATTTTTTCTTCTGGAGAAAGTTATTTGTTTTATTTCGGCTGGCTGTGCATTTATACTTCTGCGCGCTGTCTCTGTCGGTCTGCATTAACACTTCCGAAAAGCTAGTTGGCAGTGAGGTGTAAATGTTCCTCTATGTCGAGTTTCTTCGCTGCTGTTTTGTTTTCCTGAACACTTCCGGGATGTACAAGTGGCTGAAACTCGCTCATTTTGAGGCAGGAACCGGCGGACGTGCAACAACTTTAACTATGAGGTAAACACAAAACAAAACTTTCCATCCGGAGCTCCTTCACGATACTCCACACTTGTAAACAATCGTTCGCGCCATTCGCGCGGCTCTCGGTCCCGCCCAGACTCGTCAGTGCTACCAAGCCGACCAATCACAGAGCTTACGCTACGCGTCGTTGCGACGTGTAGTTACATTTTTTGAGAGGTGCACGTCAGTGACGGCCACGGCGAAGGGCTATGCGTCAGCGCCGTAGCATTCGCCGGCATTTGACGCAGAAGTATAAATCAGCCTTAATCTAAACACACGCAATAACACAAACAGATACGAGCGGGGGGGGGGGGGGGGAAGTCAAGTGAATCAAGGGGCTAGCAAGTGGTCTGACGCACGCTTTTATGACAGGGGGTCTTTGCTTATTGGATGTGACGTAAGAGTGACGTAACCGGGGAAGAAATGACTGACAGCTGAATAGACCAATGAACAGAACCTGAGAATAATAATAGCAGATATGGGAGAACAGAGAGAGAGAGAGAGAGAGGGAAAAAACACAAACAGAGCACAAATAACACAAATACATAACAATTAGTAACTAATAAAGTTATGCATACTAATAACCTTAAGATTTCTGATTTATTTTGATTGTAATGCAGTAATGTGCACCTTTTGTAAAGCTGCTTTGAAACAATAATTATTGTAAAAAGCACTATACAAATTGAATGATTTGAACTGAATTAATCGCATGAATTGTGTTTATTGTACATCAGTTTATCAATAAAGCACTGCCATGTTTTATGATGCAATAATAAATGTGCTGTATATAATATTGCAGTGTGTGTTTTGTTGTATTGTGCATGCGTGTTGAATGCTGCGGTCTCAGACGGGAAGTGGTACGATGCGTATGTGAGTTCTCTGAATGTGGATCCGCTCAGCTCTTCTTCTGCTATGACCTTTGCTCTGCACTTCCTTCCCTCTGTGCTTGAAGATCTCTACGGTTACAGACTCTTCATTAGTGGACGAGATGAACTTCCTGGGGAAGGTAAACATCCTGTCACATGACCACTCCAACACACAATTCAAAGGTGGTTTGGTACACATACAGTGTCAGAATTATTAGCCCTCCTGTATATTTGATTCCCAAATTTCTGTTTAACGGAGAGCAGATCTTTTCAACACATTTCTAATCATAGTAGTTTTAATAACTCATTTCTAAAAGCTGATTAATTTTATCTTTGTCATGATGACAGTGAATAATATTTGACTAGATATTTTTCAAGACACTTCTATACAGCTTAAAGTGACATTTAAAGGCTTAACTAGGTTAATCAGGTTAACTAGGCAGGTTAGGGGAATTAGGTTATTGTTATTGTTCTGTAGAATATCGAAAAACAAATATAGCTTAAGGGGGCTAATAATATTGACCTTAAAATGGTGTTTAAAAAATTAAAAACTGCTTTTATTCTAGCCAACATAAAACAAATAAGACTTTCTCCAGAAGGAAAAAATATTATCAGACATACTGTGAAAATTTCCTTACTCTGTTTAACATCATTCGGAAATATTGAAGAATACATAGAGTTGATGGCATAATTATTATTTTTTTAAATATTAAACTATCTAAATGCATCTAAATTTTAAACGTATGATTTAAAAAATTCAATAAAATCTTTACATAATTTAAATAATAGATTTAAATAAATGTAATAAAAATTGTGCTGATTCTAAGATACTTATTATAATAAAATTAAATAAATGTTTTTTAAATGCTGACGATGTACCCATTTTTTTATGTATGAATAAAACTACATTAGTTTATGTTAAACTACCCAAATGCAGGGACATTTTAAACATAAATCCTATGTAATTTTTTAATGTAATTTCAATAATTTCAATAAAATGTAAAACAAAATGCATTAAAATAAATTTAAATAAATGTTGTTTTTGTTGATGTTTAAATGCCGACAATGTACCTTTTGTATTAATATGTATGAATAACATTAAGTTAGTTTATGGTAAACTGTCCAATTTCAAACACAAATCTTATTTAAACGATCTAAATGTAATAAATCTAATAATTTTAATAAAATGTTTAAAAAATGAATACATTTAAATAAATGTTGTTGTTAATGTTGTTTAAACGCTGATGCTGACACTCATTTTTTTAATGTATAAATAAAGTTAGGTAAGTTTATGTTAAACTGTCCAAATGCATGGAAATTTCAAATATAATTCTTATGTAAAATGTAAAAAAAAAACTTATATAATTGTAACTATTTTAATAAAATGTTTAAAAAAATACATTTAAATAAATGTTTATTTGTTGATGTTTAAATGCTGAAGATGTACCCATTTTTATTTATATGTAAAAATACCATTAAGTTAGTTTATGTTAAACTGTTCAATTTTAAACATAAGTGTTATGTAATATCATTTGAAAATATATCATTTGAATATAGCACTGGTATTCCTGCTGCTCTATAGGCGCCCCCTGCTGGATTTGCGTTATTATTCAATATATGAATAATGTTTCAGTTCAGGATTAGTTTCTTACAATCAGTATTTAGTAAATAAACTATAAGTTAAAATGTTGCTAATGAGTGATAATGAGGTCTTAAATGTATTTCATTTCACTTTCTGAATCCTGCATATACCCTTAAATAATAATTTAAATAAAAGTTTAAAAAAAATAAATAAATGCATGCTTATTTTAAGAGATTTGAATAAAGTAAAATCAATTGCAATCTATAAATTTAGATCCACATTCATTTGGAGCGTACACTGTAACACAATCACAATCATTTCACACAAATGACTCTTTATTTTTCAGCCATTCAAGATGTGGTGTCTGACAGAATGAACCGAAGCAGGAGACTGATCATTATCCTTACATCCCAAAGCTGTTCATCACCTCAGAAACATGCATCAGATAAAGCCCAGGATTCAGAGTGTAAAAGCTCTTATGAAGCGTTACGATCAGCTTACGAGCAGCGTGTGGGTCTGTATGACGCTCTGGTGAAACAGGGGCTAAAAGTCATCCTGGTGCAGGTGGAGGATGGTGTTGAAGAGCATCTGCTGCCCGAATCTTTAAAATACATCAGCCGAACCCAAGGAATCCTCAACTGGAGAGAAAACGCCAGAGAACGCACGAACAGAAGGTTCTGGAAACACATGCGCTACCGAATGCCGGCCTGTCAGAGACGGAAAGGCACTGATAGCATGGTGCTTTGAACATTAAAATCCAAAAACGCGGTTTTAAAGAGGTCATTAACTACCTCTGTTATTTATTTTTGCTCTTTGAGGTCAGCTTATAAGATCTGTACATCCAAAAATATCCTAATTTAGAAGTTGATTATTTTCTGTGCTGTTTTTGGCCCTCGTTGTAATGCTCTGTTTGAGTGGGTGTAGCCAATTGTTGATTTTAAAGTAAACACCCACTGCGCTGATTGGCTGACAGTTTTGCATATTAACAGAGCTAAACAGGCAGTAGCGCAGAAGTGGGCGTGGAGCTTATGTGGAGGCGGAGCTTTGCCACTATTACATCATGAAGCAGACCTTTCCAGAATCTGCTGTTTTGTCAGTCGGCCTTCAATATGGGCAGATTTTAGAGAAACTTACAGAAAGTTTTTAATAGTGCTGTGAGCTCTAATCTGACAAAAAAAAAAATTTTTTTTTAGTTTATGACCTCTTTAACTTCATGCCATTTGTATCTTGATTTAAAGGAGTCATGAGCAGTGTTGCCAGATTGGAAATGTCAAAGTATCGTACCAGAACCTCAAAATTATCGTATTTGGAGGAAAATTATTGTACACGAGTCAAACTGAGAGTATACAGCTATTATCTAGACACATAGCGTTTTGACACAACATGCAAATTACCACAATACGCTAAAAAAAAAAACTAGGTGCCTTAGTGGGAAGGTTCAAACTCCACCTTTGAGTTGCTGTCATTGAATGTTGCATGTTGCCAGATGTTAAGGCATTTATTTTTCGGTACAAATTGGATGCCGTAATGGACTGCAAAATAGTACTGGTTGGCTTGAAAGCAGTGCACACTCTGAGGTGTGCATGCTTTGTTTTGATGAGACTAACTTTGGAAAAACCATGTTCACAAGACGCATTTGAATGGGGAAAAACGAGAACATCAAAGGAAAACTCCCATCCTTCTCACCTTCCTTTACAGCATGAATTGTTTTAACATTATTGTTTAAAAGATCGACCTCAAACTGAAAACTACTGACCTAACCATGGGCACGCGCAGCAGGAGCGTTAACTCGTGAGAGAGAGCCATTCTCCACGTTGATTGGCTGAGAAGATGCAACATAAGATGAGATAGAAAACGTGTCTAACTCCACCTACTCCTCACAGACAGTACAGAAAAGATGCAGCTAGATCAATAAGTAAAGAAGCCCGAAGATTACAATGAAGTTACTGTTAAATGCCATAAAATTCTGAAATTATCGTACATTATAGGATTTTTTTCATTATTGATCGTACATCGTACAGAGGTCGAAATTATCGTACAAATACGATAATTATCGTATGTCTGGCAAGACTGGTCATGAACTACCTCCGTTTTTTTTATTGTACTTTTCTATAAGGCTCACTTATGAGGTTATTACGATTCTTGTACAAAAAAAATCATAATTTAAATGTAATTGATTATTTTCTTTGCTGTTTTTGACCCTCATCTGAACGCTCTGTTTGAGTGGGTGTGGCCAATTGTAGACTCAGAGGCGGAGCCTATCCACTTTTACATCATAGAGCAAAACTTTCTAGAATCTGTGGTTTTGTGAGACGGCCTTCCATATAAGCTGATTTTAGAGGGATCACAGAGTGTTGAGTTCTGAAACGTACAGGATGTTTTTATAGTACCATGAACTCTCATATCACAAATACTTAAGGAAAAGTTTGTATTTCAGTTCATGACCCCTTTAACTCCATGCCATTTTATTTTTATCTTCATCTAAAGAGGTCATGAACTACCTCAGTTTTTTGTATTGTTCTTTGATGCTCACTTAAAATATTTTTAGGATTCTTACACACACACAAAAAACATCATTTAGAAGTAATTGACTATTTTCTTTGCTGTTTTTGACTCATCTGAACGCTCTGTTTGAGTAGGTGTGGCCAATTGTAGACTGAAGTAAACGCTGTAGAGGCGGAGTTTATCCACTGTATTACATAGTAGAGCAGAACATTCCAGACCTTTGTAGTTTTCTTAGTCGGCCTTCAATAAAAGCTGATTTTAGAGGAACCACAAAGTGTTGACTTCTGAAACTTATAAGAGGTTTTATAATACTGTAAGCTCTAATATGACAAAACAATAGGCAAGAAATGTTTTCAGTTCATGACCCCTTTAACATATGCCCTTTTATTTGTATCTTGATTTAAAGGAGTCATGAACTACCTCAGTTTTTAATTGTGTACTGTTATTTAAGGCTCAATTATGATGTTATCAGGATTCTTACTGAACAAAACACATCTATTTTCTTTGCTGTTTTTTGAGTGGGTGTGGCCTATTGTAGACTAAAGTAAAGGTCCACTGCTCTGATTGGCTAATGGTTTTACATATTAACAAAGTTAAACAGGCAGTGCTGTAGAAGTGGGCGTGGAGCTTATGGGGAGGCGGAGCTTATCCTGTCTATTACATCACAGAGCAGAACATTCCAGAATCTGTGGTTTTCTCAGTCGGACTTTAATAAAAGCTGATTTTAGAGGAACCACAAATTGTTCAGTTCTTAAACTTACAGGATGTTTTTATAGTACTGGGAGATCTAATATGACAAAAAACTAAGGAAAATTAGATTTTTCATTTCATGACCCCTTTAACATGTCTTTTCTATTTGGATGTGTTATTTGAAGGAGTCATTAGTTTGTTGTGTACTGTTCTTTGAGGCTAACTTATCCTCATACTGTAAATGTGAATACAAGACCTACACTAGATCATGGATATATAGAGAAGGTTATGATTTAGCATATTGTGAGTTTGTTTTAATTTATGAAACATTTACTAATACAGGTAATGCCAGTTGCAAAGCCCAAGTGAACCGCGCTCTGCCATATCTCTTCCACCGGGCCAGGGCCGGCCAAGTGAACCGTGCCTGAGCTTGATTCAGAGCACTCACACTTCTCAAATAATACGGGAAATGGACTTGGGCACAGTTCAAATAGCATAGTGTGAGTAGGCCCTAAGACTCTCATAGTCTTAGGACTTATTCTTTAGATCTGTTCTAT